TTATTTTATTACTGTTGTGGGATTAATCTTTGGAAACACTTAAATTTAATAAGCACAAAAACAAATGACATAAACACGACTGTATTGTGGGTTTTACGGCTTTTTTGGAGGTCATCGACTCCGCTGCTGTGAGATCTTTACTGACTGTCTCGTTGTTTTGATGGGTTAGCAGTATACTAATGCTATTGCCTATTAACAAAAACCAAAGGTATGATACGCTGAAGTATATTGCAGCTGGTGTTTAAAAGGAGCTCGCCGGTTCTATTGATGATATGACCTTTCTGAAACGATCTCGGTCCATGAAATAGGAAGGCAATTCACTTATAGCTATATATATACTATATATACTATAACCACTTCAGCACAAAATACCCTGCCTCACATTGTGATGATGTCATTCAGCACTGGTACCAGTTTCTACGCCACTGGAAAACCAACACAAGTACCACCATACTTTTGGTAGTTTTATGAAGTACAAAAAGCACGGTACCTGCTGCACTGGATTAGTGCCTAAAATGTTTGTGCCAAAGTCGTAGAGACAAGCCCCTACAAACCAGGGAAGCCCGTCTGGATTTACTTTGAATAAATGTAGCACCTTATTCATCCTGGGCCAGCACTGTAATGGGTGGGCAGGATTTGCAGAAGTGCCATCATAACAACAGTGTGCTGTGATCTCCAACCTGACTGGACCCCAGACCAAACCTGAGAACGAGAGGCGCTCACCAGCAGCTGCCCTTCTTGGACACCCGGAAGGTAGAGCCCTGGATCAACTGCTCCATGGTCTTCGACAGCTGCTGGGACAGCAGGTTCACGGAGAGGGGGACCCTGAGGGTCAAGGGAGGATCGAAAACAGACGCAGACAGTTCATAAAAACCACTGATTAATCATTAATACACTAATATCTGCAAGTCTGATTTCTGACACCTGTTATAAGCATATGATTGCTTGAGCAGAGTGTGTGTGGAAGACAAATGTATAGATCCAACATGACCCAGGAGGTGCATGTCAGGACCATGGAGAGGCGTGAAAGCTTGCTCGCACTGATGACATCACAGAAGCGTAACAGCTGAATATGCACACAGTGTGACACTAATCGCAATGCATTTACTTTTTGCTCTCAAAGAAGTGCTTCCCGATGATGGGGGGCAGTTTGCGGCGGATACGGTTGTCCGTAAGGAAGAGGTCGAAGTTCCTCAGCAGCTTACGCTTGGACTCGAACGACTTGTACTCTGTCACCAGCACCTTGAAGGGTATCACCTGGTGGGGAGGAGGGGACCCAACATGTCACCAGTTTGCGGCACATGAGCAGCCCCAGCATGTGCTCCGCATGTCCCCGAAAGACGGCCAAAGATGGCTCGCATTAATTGTTATGCAAAACGACTAGCTATTTGTAAACATTCGATTTTGCCTTTTAAGTACAAATTTTCAATTAATGACCAGCTATTTTGCAGAATTCATTGAGATTCACAGATAACCCAATAAAGGATATTTAGTACACATGCAGCATTTTTTACAGTTTTGATAATGAATCTACCACTATACATGTATAATTAAGGATCCACTAAGTGACTGGTAGCCATACCTCACCGATCCCCCTTTCCTACTCAGGGCCGTACCTCGCTGATCCCCCCGATCCCCCTTTCCTACTCAGGGCCGTACCTCGCTGATCCCCCTGATCCCCTTCTCCTTCAGCAGCGTCTTGTAGAACCTCACATTCTGGTCGCTGGTCATGTTGGGCTCGTTTCTGGTGAAGAGGCAGACTTCACCCCAGTCTGTACGGATGCTATGTGGCAGTGGGCTGCAAAGACACACCACACTTTAGTTAGAAACAATCATGTGACCTGAATTCACAGCTGTGGGTCCTGTTTAGTACCTTTAAGACTAGTCTTTAGCAATATCCAGCTGAATAAAATTACTACAAATCTCTAAGCTACATATATTTAACAATAACAGCACTAATAAAGATATCTATATTTACACATGGACAAAACAGAAGTGTTACAAATGGAACAGTTCTTATAGAAGTGAAACACTGGGGTTACTTTGAATGAGTTCAATGTGTCAAAGTTGTAGGGACAAGCCCCAATGATTCTGAAGGCTCATCTGGATACACTTTGAGTCACTGTAGCACAGTTTTTGCCCTGGCTCAGCATGAAGGCAGAGGCAGAGTTTGCTGGAGTGCCTGGAAGTAACGAAATAGTGATAGGTGGAAGGAGCAAACTCACATGCGGATTGTCTGCTCCCGTTTGGGTATTTTCCAAAAGGTTAACAGTAGGCTGATCTGCTGGCCCTCGTTTAGAAGTGTTGCCTCATTTGGGGACGTGGTCTTTAGGTATGCCAGCAGGCACTGCACGGCGTTCTTCACCTGTTACATGGGTTGGGGGAAAATGTCTCTCCGGTATATTTTAAATTCGCTTTATCGATGAAAATGAACAATCTAGCTAGCAAATGCAAGCGAAACTAAAATGTAGTATGTCATTAAGCAAAATAATTCGATATGACTTTCAAAGTAAAACACGGTGAATTATTCAAACGGCTGTATGAACTTACCTAGTAACCTATGCATTCGTAGTACATCGAAATTCATTTGAATCGAGAAGCTAAAGTTTCAGCTACCATTTAATTTTTTAACGATTTAAGAAAACATCAGAACCAGTAAAAACAACGACTTCCACTGATAATTTGCTCGTTCTCTAAGATTGCGGAGTACGACTAAGTATCTGAAACATCCAACAAAACAATACGGGTCCCGATGAAACAGTATATTTAGTAGCAGATACATTTTGACGTCTTTTGAACTTTTACAATAAATTAAACTCACTTACGCCAGTCAAATTCATAAGACTTTTCATACCTGAGTTCTGTCCAACTGCACAGCCACCTTTTCCTCCGCCATGCTCTCCACACGTGTACCCCTTCAGTATGAGCATGCGCAGTACGGTAAAGCAAATTTTGAATTCTTGAACTTTATTAGTACCTTCCCCTGCAACAGCACCGCTTGTTCGCTTCGTTACATGTTCAACTATTGTCGGGAAATATTCTATCAAAGTAACATTATCGTGTTTGTAGTTTACAGTATATATGACATTCCGATTAAATTACAATTTGCATTTACTGTTTGTATGATCCTGCACAATGTGTACAACGCGTAGTTTACAAATACTATCATCCACCTATTATTAATGTGTTACTCAGTTGAGCTAAACGAATTTTCAGATAAAATCCAACAATCTTCAAATGCTTTATCCTAGTCAGTCTTACGGGTATCATGAACCCTATATCAGGCAATTACAGGTTCAAGGCAGGAGAACCCTTTTACAGGGCATATATGATACCAGCAATTTGGAGATAGCAGTTAATGTAACAGCATGTCTTTGGTCTGCAGGACGAAACTGGATAGCTGAGGAAACTCCGAAAGGTCTGTTTTTTTGTAATCCAAATCTTATGTTTTACAAAAAGAATGCTGAAGGCAAAACTCAAAATGAATCTAAAGTTTAGTCCTATTAACGAGGATAATCTTATTTTATCATGTTTTCCTCCACAAAAATACTAAACTACATTCCACATGTGGTTTTTATCTCTTTGACTATGTAGTTATGAGATTTAATAAAAAATAATAAAAAAACAACATTGCTGGAAACTTCATGTCAAGATTTTTACGAGGATGCCATCTCTATTCAGCAGAGACTATTCACAAAACTGCAACTGGCAGTACTTCAAACTCTGAAATAGTCCTTCCTGACTTCATCATGTGCATGTCATTATCATCATAAGGATTAACAGACTATGACTTGACAAATACAAGTACCTTAGCACCAACTGCATAGAAAATTTTAAGGAAAAAAAAAATTGATCCCATTTGGATGGAGACAGCAGCTTATGTCCTTGGACAACAATGCCTTTATTTATAGAATCGGTTTGAACTTTCTCATTTGGTAACCTGAATACATGCAGCAACAAGACTTCACAGGGTAGTGAAGGCAGCCAGCAAGGTAAGTGAGGCATGACAGCTACAGCCTACAGGTTGTTCAGTAAACAAGCTGTATGCAGAGGAAAAGAAAAATCCATTCAACTCATTGATCATGACCATTACCTGTACAGTTAATCAGAGCACCTTTCTTTACAGCATCTTCGGGTTACACAATATATCTGACAGGTGCATATACTTATTCAATCCTATTCTGTGAAGGGTTGTCTCATGTTTTGCATACTAGTCCTGTTTCACCTGCCTGCAAACCTAGTTTCCCTTTCTGTGCTGTTTAACACGACTGAATTGACCTTGTAATTTTTCGTTTGCCCTTCAGATTGCTTCTGGAGATTTTCAGTGAAACTTGACTAAAATAAAACCGTCAAAATAAAACTTAACTTTAATGGTAGACTGTAGGCATGTGTTTTGGCCTGCCATTTTTAACTGTATTCAGTCTCTCAAAATGTTTTCTGTGCTTATCTGATGTTTAGTCATGTGATAAGCTGACAACTTAATGTAACAGCCACCATCTGTGTCATTACTGTACACAGTGTGCAGTCAGACTCATTTCACACATCGTTACTTTGAAAAGGTCTCAAACAGAACAGCAACGCAATATTTTAATAACTGAGAGCAACATTTTCTTTTGGATTGTTTAATTTCAGAATATTTAAAAGTAAAAAGTCTACATGGACTGAAATCAGAGAACAGCCCCATAAAAAGGTTGGCACTTCTATCTCAGAGGAGCATTAACCGTCCCAAATTTGCCTCAGATGAAGGTGCTGCGAGTCGTAAGTCGAGTTATTCACACTCTGAATTATTCCAATTACAACTGAAAACCAAAAAGAGGGTAACATCCAAATAAAGTGGACCAATTTGCTTGACAAAAATATCTTTTTCCCACGCATAAGAGTGGGCCAGTGATGGACAAAAGGCAGGGCCAGCAGCAGAAACCTGGGTTGGATCTTGGCTGGCTGCATTGCAACTCTGTGGCAAGGCAGCCCAGATGACGCACTGCCCGCCGGCTGCTCACGGGTCTATGTAACGGGCTGCTGTCATCTGGACGCCTGTGGGGCAAAAGGCTGAAAAGCGGCTCAAGGAGAAAGAGGGCGACTGGCCCGAGGGTTGCATGGAAGGGCATGAATTAGCTTTGAGACAAGGCCAAGATAAAGCATTTACACATTAAAAACAAATGGTTTAGTCTGTCCAACAGTCGTATCAGAGTAACCATAATAAATCAGTGATGACTGCATAATAGCTCTTTGAAAACAACCGCTACGGCCTGGCCGTAGAGTCTGGTGTGTAACAGGAACCATAATCGCCAAAAAACTGTTTTACAATGACCAGCTTACAGTGGATCCTCTTTACATGAAGCACTTCATTAACAGGGTTGAATAACGTGCACTCACGCTTGCAGCAAGAATATTGTTTTGAGAAACCAATCCAGATTTGCAAAAAGACACGTGTAAGACCAGGTTCTCAACATATCCGTTTGTTTGTTTTTTAAAATTCATTTGTATAAACTATAGTTCCATTGCCAGCAAACTCTGTATACTTAATATAACTGCACCAACTTCCTTTATGAAGGAAGGAGATTATGGACAAAGGTGTCGGCTGAAATCTAAAGCAGAGATCATTGTAAGTGTGTGGGTCATAAACGACGGACGTAGCTGGCTCTCAATATGAGAAAGCTGACACACGCTGGACTGTTTGTTAGATACTGCTTTTCTTAAAAACCAATTCTTCATTCACTGTGAGATTCTTTAAGGTTGATTTCTGATCAATCTCCTGCTCCCACAAGGTGAAGTGGACAGCAGCGCGTGTCCACCCTTAACAGAGCTGTTGGGGCCAGCGTTCCCACACCCCTTAGTCCTTTTCGGGCACCAGTTTTAACACTTTGCCAATAGCGATGGTCTTGCCTGCAACAAAGAAAACAGAAATTGATCACAGATTCTCATAGTAAAGATTCCAAGTCATTCAGAAGGGAGACAAACTACTTCAAATAATCCAAACTGGCAGAAGGGATCTAAAAGACCCCAAGATCAGATCTGTTACACCTCTGAAAAAGTTTTTATCCAGGAAAATATATAGATATAGGGAAAAATTCAAACCCATTCACTTAACAGGTGCTAGAAGACACGTAACCTTAAGCCAGATTTTGTAGGAAGTACCCAAAATCATTTTCTTAGAGAACCTGTTCTCCACTGTCGTCTGTCGTGTAGCATGCACTAACACCCCATCAAAAGCACGTTTTCCAACCTTCATCTCGAAGAGTAAACCTTCCCATCTGGGGAAAGTCTTTGAAGGTCTCAAGGCAGATGGTTCCAGCTGTCCGTAAGCGGGCAATACACACTTGGTCTTGTTTGACGAACCGCGGCCGTGTCTTGCTCTTCTCGCCCGTTTTCTTGTCTACCAGGCATATTAAGGCCTAAGGAGAACAGCGATTTAATTTACCTGTTTTACGTCAGCGTTCATACAGCACATGGTACAATAGAAAAAGTAACAAGGAGCCAGCAGTCACACACCAGTTATACAGACTAAAAAAATACCTCATGGAAGTATAGACGTGTGTGTCTGTGCGTGTGTGTGTGTGTGTATTACAATCAACATCAGCCTTACTCAGATGTGAAAAGGAGCCTTCAAAATGACTTTCAATGCCAAAAACAGTCCCAATGCTTGGTGTGTACTTACTGTTATTTGTACTTCTTCAATACAGGTATGGATGTGTAAGACCGCGTTGTAACCGGGACAGATGATCGATTTATGTTCAATAATCACAATCTGGGGGGAGGGGAGGCAGGAATTAGATATTAAATATGATGCCACTGCTGCATTTAAGACTCTCAGAGGAAGTACACAGAGACTTGATGGAGCTCTACCTGGGCATCAAAGGTGCGCCCAGTATGACAGAGGTTCTCGGCATTGCAGAGGATGAAGCCGGGCAGGATCTCCTCCTCCTCGATTCCCTTCAGCCTTAACTTGAGGTTCTCCCCGGGGCTGGCATCGTCCGTCTCCACGTCGTCAGAGAGCAGACTTAGGACCTCCACAATGTGCTGGAGGGCACAGCACAGACATTCACATGACATGCGAAATGCGTGTCATCATTTCAGGCACTAAGACCACCTGCAACTGGCCTAAAGGCCGCTGCTCAGAGCTCTCCAAGAGTGGTGGGTCAAAGCGGTGGCCCTCAATCAAGCCCCTTACCCTGTTTGGCATCATCACAAGCTGCTGTGCTTTGCTGATAGATCCGGACTCCAGCTTCCCAAGGATTACAGTGCCCATATCCTGCACAAGAAGGTAGACATGTATTGTGTGCAGCAGAGATAAGACACATATCCTTCAGATTTCAAGTGGAAATGAATCTTCAAAAAGACCAAAAGAGTCACTGCCCTTGACTATTTAAAGACAAACAGTACTTTACAGAAGGCAGCATTCATTCAGAACAGGTCTGTCATTAAAAACAAGTCTGTCCGAAACAGTCCAACACCCTCAATTAACAGTGAATTTCCATTCATTAAGCTATATAAGTTGGCCTATTCAGTTTGGGTTTTATTTTAATGCGTTACCAGCATTACTAGCTAATATTTCACATGAATAATTGACAAACATGAAAACAACATGAATGGGTGTAGAGATGCAGGAGAATGGTTAATGTGTTGGTATTTGGAAATATTCATTCAAGATGTCTGATGTGTAAATTTTGGTCGATATTTAAATTAATTATGCCCCCCCCCCAGTCCAAGGGACCAGCAATAAAATGAGGGGGGAGTGATGGTGTGGCCCAAAGATACAAAACAAAATGTGTTGCGTATTGGATCAAAACGGTACACAGCATTTTTATTTTACAATATGGGATGATCCTCGTAAAACACGGGGCGGGTGAAAATTATTCAGATATAATGGTCTGTGGAATGTTCATTATTCCTTATTAAATCTGGGCAGATCCAGCTTTTGTTTCACACAGAACAAAAAAAAAAAATTTTTTTAATTCTCTGATCAGCACAGTCAAGTTTCACCAATCAGCAATATTAGACAA